CTACACCCGCACAGCTACACCCGCACAGCTGCACCCGCACAGCTGCACCCGCACAGCTACACCCGCACAGCTACACCCACACAGCTACACCCACACAGCTACACCACACAGCTACACCCACACAGCTACACCCACACAGCTACACCCACCCCGCTACAAAGACAAAGTTCCCCTGTATAGCCTGTAACAGACTGTAGGGCAAGTGATGTTAGCAAGCATCTATGAAGGCCGGAACGGTACACGAGGGGTGGGTGCCAGCATCACGCCCGACCGCCTTTGTCTCCCCAGTGGCGATGTTTACACACCACACTGGGTACCCATTTGAGGCTGAGTCGACCTAGGGGAGGCTCAAGACCGGTTTCAGATAATCGTCACTGGTGTTGGCCGTGAGCGGGAATCGAAACCGGTTCGCCAGGTTCATAGCGCAGCGCGCTAACCGCTAAACTACCGCTCCCCTACACACACTGACACGCACACACCGACACGCACACACTGACACGCACACACTGACACGCACACACACTGACACAATCGCACTCTTACACGCGGCTAGCAGGCACCGCGATCCACAGTAGAACGCCGCGGCCCCGGAACTCCCCCACACGCCCCGCCGGCGCCCAAACCCTGACCGCCCCAACCTTGACCGCCCCAACTTTGACCGCCCCAACCTTGACGCCCCAACCTTGACCGCCCAACCTTGACCGCCCCAACCTTGACCGCCCCAACCTTGACCGCCCCAACCTTGACCGCCCAACTTGACCGCCCCAACCTTGAGCCCCATCCTTGACCGCCCCAACCTGACCGCCCCAACCTTGACCGCCCCAACCTTGACCGCCCCAACCTTGAGCGCCCCAACCTTGAGCGCCCCAACCTTGAGCGCCCCAACCTTGACCACCCAACCTTGACCACGCAACCTTGACCACGCCAACCTTGACGCCCCAACCTTGACCGCCCCAACCTTGACCACCCCAACCTTGACCACCCCAACCTTGACCGCCCCAACCTTGACCACCCCAACCTGACCACCCCAACCTTGACCGCCCCAACCTTGACCACCCCAACCTTGACCACCCCAACCTTGACCACCCCAACCTTGACGTCCCCGTCGCTCCCAGCCGGCAGCAACCACTCGGTGGCCGAGGGCTGCTCATCTTCCTGGAGGCGCTGCCCGAGCCGGTGGTCTGCTACGAGCTCTACTCGCGCTGCCTCGACGCCTCCGCCAGCTACGCGCAGAGCAAGCAGGTTCGCTGGGCGCGAGGGGGGGCCGGGTTGGGGGTGGAGCAGGGTGGGGGGGGGGGTCACCCCCCCACCCCCCCCCCGCACCCCCCATGAGTTACCATCGCGAACGTTCATCACGGAGCGCTGTGGCCGCTGTGGTTCTCGTGGCACTTGCGGGGCAATCGCCACTCGGGAGGCCCCCGTTGTGATCGTTTGACAGTGGGGAGGCGACGATTGCCGCGGCGTGGTCATGGTGGGCTAGGCCTCTAGGGGCACCTCCAAGGGGACTCGGCGCCTGGCCTGCGAGCGGGCATTGATTGTTGCTGCTGTGTCCGTGTGTCTATGATTCCAGACCGAGTCATTTGCAGTGTCATTTTTCAAATGTGGAAAATTTTGATTCGTGAAGTTTGCACGCGATGGCCGACCATTGTTTCAAATGCCGTCCCGGTGGGCGTTTCATGGAAGCCGTTGGGTCTCATGGAAGCCGTTGGGTCTCGGAGACTGTGGGTCTGGAACCCGGTGCGATCGCCGTGGCTGGGCGGCCGATGAACTTCGGATGGGAACCCCCGGGCTCATTGCAGAGTCTCTGACCTCAAGGCACCGTAAGGGGAGGAGGGAGGGGGGGCCTCTCCAATGTCCATGGATATGAAGCGTGGACGTGAGTGTGCCTCTCCAGACGCTGCGAGACGCTTCACTCAGGCCTACCGCAGGCTTCCCCACCAGCGTCCATGGTGGCCGCCGTGCCGCTCCCCGCTCGGGGACGGCCAAGTTTGCCCGACGGATTTGGCTCTGGCTCACTCGCGTGGCTCACCTGAACCTCCTGGCTCCTCAACCTAACTCGCCCCTGGCTCACTCACTCTGACTCACCTTGACTCACCTTGACTCACCTTGACCCACCTTGACTCACTCTGACTCACCTTGACTCACCTTGACCCACCTTGACCCACCCGTGCCCCTCTCTGGCAGGAGCTCTCGCGCCTGCCCGGGTGCCATGGCGGTGCGTTCCACTACCTGGCCGCGTTCCTTCGCGAGCTGCTCAAGCACTCGGACGCCAACCACACGGACGCTCGCATGCTGGGTGAGGGGTCGCTCACCACACGCTCACCACACGCTCACCACTCACCACACGCTCACCACACGCTCACCACACACTACTCGCCACACGCTCACCACACGCTCCACACACACCACTCACCACACGCCCCACACACACCACTCACCACACGCTCACCACACACTACTCGCCACACGCTCACCACACGCTCCACACACACCGCTCACCACACGCTCACCACTTACCACACGCTCACCACACGCTTACCACTCACCACACACACCACTCACCACACGCTCCACACAAACCACTCACCACACGCTCCACACACACCACTCACCACACGCTCACCACTCGCCACACGCTCACCACACGCTCACCACTCACCACACGCTCACCACACGCTCCACACACACCACTCACCACATGCTCCACACACACTACTCACCACACGCTCACCACACACTACTCACCATACGCTCACCACACGCTCCACACACACCACTCACCACACGCTCCACACACACCACTCACCACACGCTCACCACACACTACTCACCACACGCTCACCACTCACCACACGCTCACCACACGCTCCACACACACCACTCACCACACGCCTACCACACACTACTCACCACACGCTCACCACTCACCACTCGCCACACGCTCCACACGCTCACCACTCACCACACGCTCCACACGCTCCACTCACCACACGCTCCACTCACACCACTCACCACTCACCACACGCTCACCACACGCTCACCACTCGCCACACGCTCCACACGCTCACCACTCACCACACGCTCACCACTCACCACACGCTCACCACACCACACGCTCACCACTCACCACACGCTCACCACACGCTCACCACTCGCCACACGCTCACCACACGCTCACCACTCACCACACGCTCACCACTCACCACACGCTCCACACGCTCCACTCACCACACGCTCCACTCACCACACGCTCCACTCACACCACTCACCACTCACCACACGCTCACCACTCACCACACGCTCACCACACGCTCACCACTCACCACACGCTCACCACACGCTCACCACTCACCACACGCTCACCACTCACCACACGCTCACCACTCACCACACGCTCACCACTCACCACACGCTCACCACACGCTCCACACACACTACTCGCCACTCACCACACGCTCCACACACACCACACGCACACCACTCACCACATGCTCACCGTTCACCACACGCTCCACACACACTGCTCACCACACGCTCACCACTCACCACTCGCTCAGACTCCCGGAGTGCCGGCGACGTTATGCCGCGCCTCGCGGAGGACCGATTGCTTTCCGCCCCTCTCACCCTCGCGGTCCCCCCTGTGCCCCCCACGGTGATTCCCCATTACCCCCCCCCCCCGCCCAGCCTCGGTGTTTGGTTCGGTGCTGCTCCGCCCGCCGCCCAACCGGCGCCGCCTCCCGGACGACCGCAGGAAGCACATCGCCTTCATGCAGCACTTCCTCTTGCACGACGACAGCAGCTGATTGGCCGCCGCCGCGGGTCCGTGACTCCGGCGGCCATGTTGCTGCCCCCCCCCACTTCGCACCGGTGTCCGACCTTGCGGGGCGGGGTTGGTGGTTGGTGGTTGGTGGTTGATGGTTGATGGTTGGTGGTGCGAGGTGCGAGGTCAGGGTTCAGGAAGAGGTTAAATTATAACGAGATTGGGTTTGTGAATGCTGGCGGTGGACGGGGGGGGGGGGAGGTGGGGGCTGGTAAGGGAGTGGGGGAGCAGTGGTTAGCATCAGTGCTCGAAGTCGTGGTAAATTTGTGTCCTCGAAATGACGTGTGTGGGTATCGCGTGACAATGATCTCTGCATTTACATGGCAAGTACGTCGGTGCTTCGGCAACTCCAAGCACCTTGCATCGCAGCTCCTTTGTCACTTTCAAAGCATCAGCTGTTCCCCGTGGGAGACAAATGTGACATCGGCACGCGGCGTGCTAAATTAGGCGTTAGTCTGCCGGTAGAGGTGGGGGGGCATGATTGCTGCTGTGTGCTCAATCTAAGAGGTGATTTTTTTGAATTTAGCAAATTGCAGGTCTCTCACTTGGCCACGTTTTACAACTGCACATCGCGCAGAGCGACGCTGGGTTTTTCGGCGGAGCTGCGTTGGGACGCTCTCCCACGCCACGCGCTCCCAGTTGTAGCCCCGGTCCGAGTCATTTCGCTGCATCGAGTCATCGGTGCTCATCACCCGTTTGCAGCCCTGCAGAGCCATTGCTGTGGCAGCGGGGGCGAGTCTATCCACGGGACAGCCGCTGTTGATCTTTCACGAAAAAATCGGTTCTCATTTCTATTGACCCCCAGAGAGATAGGCGCGATCAAGTCGACAACCTGGGTTTGAACTTGCAACGTTCCTCTTGCGAGCCACTTGCTCTACCGCTAAGCCAGATAAGTACAGTGACCAGTGTAGCAGTGGATTATCACGGTAGCTAGTGTAGCAGTGGATGGAGCATCCACAGCGGTGATGTTAAAATCAGTGTCAGTAACATTAATTTAACCTTCATGGGGGTAGCGGGGTTTTGGTAAATAACGAACAAAGCAGGGCAGCGCCACCCTCGAGTGAACCCGGTGTTTTGAGGACACACACTCGTACCAGCCACTGTTATAGGATAAAGGGAAAGGGCCGATGTGTGGGTTAGGGCCGGGAAGGGGAGCGAGATGAAAGGGGAGAGAGGTTGGAGATAGAGAGAGTGTGGAGGAGGAGGGGAGCGAGATGAAAGGGGAGAGAGGTTGGAGAGAGAGAGAGTGTGGAGGAGGAGGGGAGCGAGATGAAAGGGGAGAGAGGTTGGAGAGAGAGAGAGTGTGGAGGAGGAGGGGAGCGAGATGAAAGGGGAGAGAGGTTGGAGAGAGAGAGAGTGTGGAGGAGGAGGGGAGCGAGATGAAAGGGGAGAGAGGTTGGAGAGAGAGAGAGTGTGGAGGAGGAGGGGAGCGAGATGAAAGGGGAGAGAGAGAGAGTGTGGAGGAGGGAGGAGGGGGGGTGTGGAAGGTGCAGGTCCATGGAGTGTCTCGAGAACGGCGAGTCGGGTGAGCTTCTAGTTGATCGCACGAATGGACTGGGGGGCGTCTGAGTGACGTGCTCTCGGTGGGACGTGGTGGCCGTCAATCACCTGCGCTCGTTACTCTGTTCGTTGCTCACATTTCGCCTCACTGCGGAGTTGATGGGGTCTCCATGGGTCGTGCGAGGAGGGCTGCAGGAGTGACAGTTCAGTGGGCGGTTGCATCTCCGCGTGTCTCCTGTGTCTCCCCCCCCCCACCATGTCCACTTATCACCACGTGTCTCCGCGCGTCTTCCGGCGTCTTCCCATGTCTCCAAATGTCTCCCCATGTCTCTCCTTCTCTATCCACGTCTCCACGTATCTTCCAGCGTCTCTCCGTGTTTTCCTGCGTCTCCCCGTGTCTCGGTGCACATCGCCACATCTCCCTGCACCACACCACATCTCCCACGTGTGTCCTCACTCCTCCCCGTCTCCCCCCGCGCGTCTCGCTGCGTTTCTCTGTTTATCCGCCCGTGTCTCCGCGCATCTCTCCACTTCTCCCCGTGCCTCCGCGTGTTTTTAACATGGACGTGGTTTTTATCCAGCTGCATAAACTAATGGGGTTTGGGGTTGGGGGGTGGCTAGGGTTATGGTTGGGGTCACGGTGATTCCCACGCCGCCACCGTCGCCGCCGCGGTCTCGCGCGTTTGGGTATTTTCCAGGGCGATCCTCGAGGAGAATGATTCGTAATCATGGACCCGGCGTCACCGGCGCCGATCGTTCAGCAGTGTAGTCCTGCGGGAGGCTCTCGGAGCAAGACACGGGGGTGCGTTTGAGACGACGCGGCTCGTTGGATGGACGATATATCCGAGGGGGTGATTGAAAAGCACGTTGTGACCCCCTGTGAGCTGGGGCGAGGATTATAACCCCCTCCCCTCGGCCACAGCTCTTCCACGCACTTCAACTAAGGTCCCTACCGCCTCGGCTACAGCTCACGTCCCTTCCTCTCGGCTAGAGCTTCACGCGGATAAACTAGACGTCCTCCCGTCCGACCCCGTTACCCACAGCTCCTCCGCATGGAGAAACGAAGCCTCCTCTCCCGTCGGCTGTAACTCGTGTCTATCGCCCTTCGTCCTATTTTGCCGGCTACAGCTCCGCGGCGAGAGCCTTTGGTCGTCGTCACCAAAGAAAGCGAGAGAGGAGAGGTGGTGGTGGTGGAGCTCCGGCCGTGCGTCGCGAGCCGCCCCGCAGTGGCGCTAATCGCGCCGTGGCTTTCATCGTCATTGCCGGCTCGCGACCGCTTTGTCCGCATCCGAACGACCAGTTGCGTGCGCGAGGACATTCTTGCACGGCACGTTCGGGATCGTAACGGCCGATCGCAGCTCGTCAATCGTGTGCCGCGTGTAGCGTGCGACCCGCTCGAAACCGCCGGGCAGATCGACCGCCGCGTGAAAGTCGAGTCTGTCCTGAACAGTCGGTTGCCTGCAACCGACTGTTCAACTGGGTTGTAACTGGTTGTGGAGACGTTCACGTGGACAGGTTGGGGGTCCCACCACAGGCGAGCGGTCACAGCCGTGTGGCTGAGCGAACCACGTGTCGGAGTTGTGTTTGTGTAACCAGGCGAGAACTCGAGAGACCGAGGATAGAGGCTCATTCGAGTCCACGTCTCTGCTGTGAGCAACCTGTTTGCGAAGACGACCACGTGGAAGGGATGCAGTTGCATGCGACGGGTTTGTGTGGACTGGGCTGTAACCCCCCCCTTCCCCGTGCACACTGCAATAATAACAATGACAGCGGTGTTGTTTTAATGATTATGGCCTAGCCCGAAATGAAGTCAGTCTATATTATATTATATGTGTGTACGTGTGTGTGTGTGTCACTCTATGATAAAGGTCTCATACGTGTCTATCCATCCAACCTGCCGATGCCGCACGTATGTGTGTGTGTGTCTCCGCGTTTAATGTGTGATTGTGTTGTGCGAACTATTGTGCTTCATGGTGTAACGTCGTGAGGATAGTGTGTAAGGTGTGGTGCGAGGGTGGATGTGAGGTTTAATGTGTGTGTGAGTAGGGGTGTATGTTGAGGCTGAGTGAAATGGTACAAGAGGTTGTTGAGCTGAGTGAACTTGCCAATGACTGGTACCAGCTGTGTCAAGATCGGCCTTTGTGGAGGAGGCTCGTGAAGGACGCTTCTGGGCAGTTGGAGGCAGTCGCCTTCCAACAACAACGGAGGGCAGAGGAGCGACGCTCACAACAACGAGCGGAGCGCCGGGTGGCTAAACGCAGCAAGTGAGCACAGTAGGGGGCACAGGTGGTACATTAGCCAGTCATCTCAGTCATCTCAGCCGGTCAACCCATGGCACCTCGGTCTGTCCCGTGACCTGCCAGCGGGCGTCCGACACTTCACATGGCCTCAACGTGCACATAGCCTGGCACAAGCACCGTGGTGACGTCACCGCCACTTAGTGGGGAATGGTGGTTGTTGTTGAGGCTGACGTGAGTGAGTAGGCGGTGTGCAAGCCTGCTTGTGTGTGTAGTTAGATTAGTGGGGGGCTGGTAACCCCTCAACCTTCGCACACCTCTTTTTCTAAACCAAGTTCCATGGTGGAAATAACCAACTAACTCAGCTTGCGCTAGAGGCTCACCGGGGGTACAGTTGTGTTCATGACCGTTTGCTGGCCTACCACAATTTGCAGATCCAGACTGTACCACTCTACTCATTGGTTCTTTCGGTAAAGTCACGGATGTAGAAATAAAATATAATTTAAATATGAAATAAATCACGACGTTTCGAAAGAAACACAAGCGCTCATCATCAGGTGAAAATGGGGCAAAACACAGCGATGGAGCACACAGAGGGACATCACACACACAGCACACAGAACGGCAAACTGCACGGAGGCAAATACAGCAATAAGATGGAGAGACACGAACTCAACAAACCTTAGAAACAATGCGATGCAAACCAGTTGGCCAACAGCACAGTTAGACACTAACTTGGTTAACCACGTATATCAAAAGACTGCTAAATTTTGTGTTCATCTTCTGGGCTGAACACACCAACGTAAACGGATGGACAAGGACTCGTGAACAGACACGAGGTACAAGGTAGCAGAGATACACAGAGAAGACACGGCGAAAGATGTTTTGGGCAGCACAGAGGAACAACCAGAACACCACAACAAGAGACGGATACGCATGGAGAGGCACATAGAAAGACGTCCGGAAGGATAACGTACAGGGACTTATTTCGGCTGTAGAGGCGGGGGAAGGGGCGGAGAGAAGGACCAATGCAGGTGTAGTAAGTTGATGAGGAGACGATGAGGAAGTTGAGACACACTGTTTATTAACTCCGGGACAGATACAATAGTTGAAGGGGTATCGGCCCCTTCACCCGTACTATGGGCAACCCACCCTAGTACTAAGCCCTCTGTCCTGTCCCCCAGTCCTCCTCTACTGGGCTACGGGAGGCTGACTGATCTGGCCCTGGCAAGCACAGATCTCGGCACCAGCTAACCAGCCTTGCCCTGATAAGGGCAGCGGTCTGGAAGCTCTTGGGCCGCGCCACTGGCTTACCCGGCTCGGCCCTTATAAGGACGGCGAGACCGGGGAGTCCCAGGGCCTAATCTCCGAGTCTTGGATCTTCACTGGTCAGCTTCGTGTCGAACTGCCTCGAGCTCTTTGGGTTCCACCTTTTATAGGGATCGCCTCCGAGGGCTGGGGGCGTGGGCAATAACTGATGCGGACGTCGGTGTGACCCCCCGTGTATGTGAGTGCCGACAGCCCTGTGTTTGTTGTCCGCCGTTTCTCCCGTAATAACCCCTACACAGGTGTAAAGGGGGAGCCGACACCAGATTGCAGGGGTCTCGTCCTTTATTCCTTTTCTTCCATCCACACCTGTCCCCAGCCGTCCCAATATTGTTCCCGCCAAAGGCCCCCTCTTCCCGCCCGTTCTCTCCTTATATCTCCTCGATCACCCCTCCCACTAACCCACCTATTGGTGGGAATCCTTCCCCAGACACCCCTACATCACCCCCCCCCCCCCCCCCCCCCCGGAGAAAAAATAACCGTCCTCGGTTCTGCCTCCCCCATGGACCATTTAAGTCTCCCCATGCCTCCCACCACTGACAGTGACAACAACCCTTACCCCCCCCCCCCCACAACCATGCAATGCAATATAACACAACGAAATCAATTGCACGGCCTGCCCAGGTCTCCAGCCAGCATCCCGTAACAGCCCGGACATCCACAGGCAGCAGATGACCGTGGCGGCCCCCTCCTTCGAAGGCCCTCTCGTCGCGGTCCCTGGTTCGGTGGTGCCGGTGTCGCCTTGCCTGGCGCCGCTGTCTCTCCGGCCCCCGCTCGTGCCGCCGCTCCGTCAGGCCTCACATGGGGTGCTGTAGGTGACAAGGGAACACAGGGCACCGAACCCCCTGCCGGTCGGCGCGTGGTGGTCGGCGACCTTGGCCTGAGTAGGGATGATGATGATGTTGGCAGTGATGTTGGTGGTGATGTTGGTGAAGATGATGGTGGAGAGATGTATGGCTTAAGGCGGGTGGGGTGTACAAACAATTGTCGCTTACCCAGTTGGACCTGGACGCACTGCGGTCGGAGTGCTTTAATGACCTCGACCGGCCCTTTCCAGGGTCGGTGCAGCTTTGGTGAGAGGCCAACCGGCACCTGAGGACAGTGTAGCCATGCCTGGTCCCCGACTTTAAAGGGCTTGGCTGTCACTGTCCTCTCCCGTATACGTACATTACTCTCTT